TGTTCCAGTGGCGGACAAGATACAACAAAGTCGTCTTAGATGGTTTGATCAAATTAAATATCGACCATCTGATGTTCCTGTTAGAAGAGTAGATGTTTTAGATTCCACTTATATGAAGAAAGGCAGAGGTCGACCTAAAATAATTTGGGCAATATTGTCTAAAAAATGATCTTAATCTGTAAGAAATAAATGAAAGTATGACACTCAATAGTTCGCAATGGAGAAAAAGAATTCATGTAGTCAACCCCACTTAATGGAATAAAGGCATTATTTTTATTTATTCCATAATTTATCAATGTAGGCAATTTTGGAATGCACATCAATTTCTCCCCCATTGCATGTGTTATGCGTCGACAACAAGTATTAACAGTGATGATGATGATGATGAATGGGAATGAAAATCATGATCTTGATAAACAAGTAAAATATCAAGATTTAAGTTTTCAATTTTCTCAAGATTCCATCTTGGCCTGGAAAGTAATTGATATTGTTGGTTATCATGCCCATTCAAAAAGGTTAATATTGTTTATCTTAATTTTATTAGCATTTTTTTGATGATTTATGGGCTATTTGATTTGCTAAAAAAGAAATGCAATGATTGTTTGGTCAGCAACAAAAGATGTGCATTATATTCCTTCTGCATAAGTTTTGAAAACATTAGTTTTTTTTTCCTTTAAAAATAAATATAATATTAGGGGTGTAAACGAGTCCAGTCGAACTCGAGCCACCCTCAGCTTGAGCTTGAGCTTGAGCTTGATTAATTTTATCAAGTTTGAGCTCGAGCCGGCGCCGACTTGTTTATTATAAAAGAAAGAAAATAATATTAATTTAATTTAATTTTATAATAAAATGACAAATATAATGATCAATTATGAGAGAAATAGTAAGAAATCAATTAATTTAAAATTCAAAATATTAATTCTTAAATTATTTTAATACTCTAAAGATAATCTTCAAATTTAATATATTTTAAGTACATTTTATATTAATATTTTTTTAAATGAGCCGTTTCACGTGCTAAAGAGTCGAGTCGGGGTTGACTTGAGCTTAACTTGTTATCTTATCGAGCTCAATTTACGACCCACTCATCGAACCACTTATAGAGCCGGCTCACCAGTCTACGTGATTCACTTACACCCCCATATATTATCATATTATATTGCATTTGAAATTTTTTTTTTTGGACGGTTTAATCTCCAGAAAGAGGGGTGTATTACATTTACATTGCAGAAATTTAATTGAGAGAACTATTTTTAAAAAACTCAAAACAATTATTTTTTTTATATTTTGAATATTTTTAAATACAATTTATTTTATTTTTAAAAATAAAGTATATGAATATTTATATAAATTATATAAACTAAAACAAAAAAATGATATCAAACAGGTTTTCTATTATACTTTTAAATAATTCATTTATTTCAATTATATACATTTTTTTATTATAATGGCATATCCGTACTCAATCTTTTTAATAATAGATCTATCCTGTGTATAAAAATTATTTGATACATATTTATCCAATTTATACAAATAAATTTATTTTAAAAACAATTTTATTTATGAAGTACAACATCACAGAGAATGAGTGCTGACTCAGTCGATCAGCTTTAAACACCCAATCAGCAGATATATTATGTGCATTTATCACTGCAATGAAATAATCAATTGGTGCTCCAAGACCAACCTCGTCAATGCACTACTTAACGACATAGAAACTTAAAAAAAGACAAAAATTACTTTGCCTGAAGCTATAACAAAATGCCCGGACTTGCTTCTGAAATAGCAGTCCATAAATTTGGAATAGAACAATCTGCAATCCCAGTGAAACAAGCTCCAAGAAGGATGCGTATGGAGATCGAACAACATGTCGTTGCGGAGGTTAAGAAATTCATTGGATAATTACAAATGTCATGCACTTGAAAAACCAAATTGAAATCGATAACATTTTCACATAAAATCCAACAAAATCCTCAAATTATGAATAAAAATTTCAATATTTTTTTTACAAATTAAATAAATAATCTTGGTCATCCAAATTTCATGAAACCTAAACCTGTATGAATCTTTGGTCTCTCTCTTTATAAAACACAATATATTATGGTTAAAAAGTTTATTTGTTAAATATGTAAATACTAAATACATCAGAACTCGAGCCACCCTCAGCTTGAGCTTGAGCTTAAGCTTGATTAATTTTATCAAGTTTGAGCTCGAGCCGGCGCCGAATTGTTTATTATAAAAGAAAGAAAATAATATTAATTTAATTTAATTTTATAATAAAATGACAAATATAATGATCAATTATGAGAGAAGTAGTAAGAAATCAATTAATTTAAAATACAAAATATTAATTCTTAAATTATTTTAATACTCTAAAGATAATCTTCAAATTTAATATATTTTAAGTACATTTTATATTAATATTTTTTTAAATGAGCCGTTTCACGTGCTAAAGAGTCGAGTCGGGGTTGACTTGAGCTTAACTTGTTATCTTATCGAGCTCAATTTACGACCCACTCATCGAACCACTTATAGAGCCGGCTCACCAGTCTACGTGATTCACTTACACCCCCATATATTATCATATTATATTGCATTTGAAATTTTTTTTTTTGGACGGTTTAATCTCCAGAAAGAGGGGTGTATTACATTTACATTGCAGAAATTTAATTGAGATTACCATTTTTAAAAAACTCAATACAATTATTTTTTTTTATATTTTGAATATTTTTAAATACAATTTATTTTATTTTTAAAAATAAAGTATATGAATATTTATATAAATTATATAAACTAAAACAAAAAAATGATATCAAACAGGTTTTCTATTATACTTTTAAATATTTCATTTATTTCAATTATATACATATTTTTTATTATAATGACATTCGTATTCAATCTTTTTAATAATAGACCTATCCTGTGTATAAAAAATTATTTGATACATATTTATCCAATTTATAC